AGGCAGCCGCCTCTGTCGGGCTCAGTCCTGGAGCGGTGGGAGCGAGTGCCCGGTCCCCGCAGGGCCCCGCTGCCACCTCCCGGACCCCCGCGATCCCCGCATCCAGTCTCAGGACGGCTGCTGGGGATGTCCCTCTCCCCAGGCTGCGAGGCAGGAGAGCTGCGCTCCGGGGCACTGGGAGCGGGGTGGGAAGGGCTGGGAACATCGGCTGGTTCATGATGGCATGTGGGCTTTGCAGCTCCAATCCCTCCCGGTTCGGCTGAGGCTGCTCGCAGCTCTCCTGGGTGCTTGGGGGGTGTCCGGGCCCCTTGGATGTCATCTCCTCACAGGGAATCACCCCAGCCCGGGGCTGCATCAGCCCATCCCAACCCTGGCTGCTGCTGCCCGCGCCAGCTCTTGAGTTTCTACCTTCTCCCTCACATGGTCCTGTCCATCGCTCCCTGCCAGCATGGGCAGGAGCTGCTCTTCTGGGACAGCAGCAGGTCTGGATGCCCCTCATGCTGCTGCAGCCCCTGAGATTGGGTTTGGCATCCCCTCATCCTGTGGGATTTCCACTTGCTGCTTTGCAGGGTCCAGTGTATGTTCTGGAAGGCCTTGGGCAGGGACACACTGTGTCCCTCTGGCCAGAGCCTGGGTCCCCCCATGATGGCAGAGGTGTGTCAGCCCAGCTGGTGCTTCCAGAGGTTCCCAGGTGCTGGTTCCTGTAGCCCAGAGTGTTGCTCTGTTCAGGGCCACCCCATGGATCTTTGCTGGTCACAGCCAGCCCAGGAGCCCCACATGCTCTTGGCTGAACCAAAACTGGGTGTGTGGGAAGGGGGGGGGAATGAGGACACACCTGGGGTCCAAGGTGGGTGCTGGTTCTGCTTTGGAGCAGGGTGAAACCCTACTCCAGAGGGGAGTGAGTCCATCCCAGCACCGGCAGGATATGTCCCTTCCCCCATCCCTCCCTCACATCTTTTGCTGTTTAGCAAACCTCAAACGCAGCTACACGAGAGCGTAAACCCAAATAAGCGTCAGAAGGGGCTGGTTTGCAGAGGCGGAAATTGCAAAGGGATCACTCACCAAAAAAAAAAATATATATATAAAAAAGAACTGATTCGCTGGTGGGGTTAAGGAACAAACGGGCTTTTGACGCTGGGCTGTCCCCATCCCACGGGCTGGGTCAATGCACTGTTCCCAGCTGGTGGCTTGGGACAAAGGCTCTGGGTGTTTTGTCTCTGTCCTCTATGCTGGTGATCCAGCCGCTGTAGCAGTGGGATCAGCCCCACTTTGGGTGTCCCTGCGGGGGGGTGGCTGGAGCCTCACTTCTGTGGGGTCAGGCAGGAGCAGGCAGCAATGCAGGCAGGGCAGAGAGTAGGGTGCAAGCCCATGTCCTGGCTCACTACTGGGTATCTCCCACCCAGGGCATCCGTTGCAAATGCTGGGATAACTGGTGTATCCCCATGCTGGGTTTGAAGCCTGCTGGCCAAGGAGTCAGGCTGTGGGATCACCAGGGTGCTGGGCCAGCAGTGCTGGGGTCCCCAGAGGCACCTGCTCTGGGATAGCCTTTGTGCTACAGGGGTACAAGGAGCCACCATGGAGTCTCTGCCAGTTACCCAGCTCATCACGTGCTGCCCCTTCCCAGGCACCGGCGCGGTCCCCACACCTCTGCCCTACAGCTGGAGTCTCACTGCCCCTTGCTTGGGCACCTGGCTCAGCAGGGACCCCTCAGCCTTTGCTTTCTCCACAGGTGGGATTTGCTGGCTGCAGCAGGGGAAGGAGGCCAAGTGCACCATGATCCTGAAGACGGGTGTGACGTGGGAGGAATGCTGTGCCAACGGCAATGTGGACGTGGCCTGGTCTAATTACTCCTACCCAGGCAACAAGATCAGCCTGCTGGGCTTCCTGGGGCTGGTGACCTGCCACCCCTGCAAAGGTGAGCGTGGGTTGAGCAGGCTGCAGCAGGGGTGAGCTCTGCTCTGGGAGATGCTCGGAGCCCTAGAGAGCAGGCTCAGAGCCCTGGGTGGGATGCTCGGATCCCTGGGGGACTGCTCAGAGCTTACAGCTCTTGGCAAAGATGGGGGAGGGCTGCCCTTCCCCAGGCAAGTGGGACCACTGACTGTGTGCTCCAGCTGCTGCAGCTCCAGGAGGGATAGTTCTGTGGGGTTAGGGCTCCTGGGGCAGCCTCCACCCCCTGGCAGCTCCCATTCTGTGAGTGTTTTGGATCCCACTCTGTGGAGCTGGATGCGTGAGTTGGGTCTTGGCTGGGCAGCCTGAGTATGAGGAGCCAAGCTGGGACTCCCTGTTCCCGGGTGAAATCTGCTGGGGCTGGGCCTCCCTCCCCTGCCCTCGCCAGGTCTGCTCAGAGGGAAACTTCTTACTTTTTTTTTTTTAAGGAAAAAAAGATCCATTTCTCCCCTCTGCTCCCCCTGCCTCCTCCCAGCCTGTGTGAGAAATGCCTTTATATAACGGGCAGTTCCAGAAGTGGAAACTCTCCAGCTGTGAGTTCCAGCCCCGCCAGATGTTTTGGCGTGTGCCGGAGCCGCGGATCCCCCAGTTGCACTTGCGTGGCTGTGTGAGAACATGCTGCAGGACCTGCTGACCGCAGTAGGCAGGAGCAGGTCTTTGGAAGGTCATGTTATTATTTGCTTAAAGGGGGAAAAAAAGGCTCTTAACAAAACCATTCTTCCAGCCTCTCTGCACCCCTTGCACTGCCACCAGCCCCGTCCTGGCACAGCCCGGGGTTGCACCCTGGGTTGGCCAAAGGCTGAGTGAGAACCTGGCTCTGGCTTTCTCCCCATCTCCCACCATGGCCAGGCAGGCTGGCCCTGCTCACTGGGTGCTGGGACCACCAGGACCTTCTCTGGGGCGGGCTGAGGATTGCAGCTGCTCTGTGCCCAGGGCAGAGTAGTGAGGACAGGCAGCCCACGCCCCAGGAGGCAGGGGGACATGGGACGGCCAGCGGCCACAGACCATGGCGGAGGCTGCAGATCATGGGGACCTGGGAGCAGAACCTGTGCTTAAACCACCAGAGAGCCCAGCCAGCACGTACAGTGCAACTCTCCACCCTTCAGAAAGCCCCTGCCTGTCCCATCCAGATGGAGCTGGTGCTGCTCCCCACTGGGCTCCAGCAAGCTGGAGGCCTTGGAAAAGGGCGGACTAGAGGAGCTGTGCTCCCGCTCCCCAGGCTGGCGGGGCCGGCAGAGGTTACTCCAGGATAAAGTGGTTGTGGCCACCAGCCCCACGCCAGCAGCCGGGGCGGCCAAGCCCCGCGGGACACTGCTGGCCCAGCCCTGGGGGCTCTGGAGTGGGTCTCTGGTGGGGAATTGAAATTCCTGGCTCCAGCTGCTGGGGACACGGTGTCCCCACCAGGGACCCAGTGCTGGGGGAGAGCTGGGCTGCAGGGTCAGGGTCATGGACGAATGGTCCAACCTCTTTCCTCCCTCATTGAGACCATCCGGATGGATGAACTGGGCTGTGCTAGTGGCAGGGGGCCGGGACACTGCTGGCCCAGCCCTGGGGGCTCTGGAGTGGGTCTCTGGTGGGGAATTGAAATTCCTGGCTCCAGCTGCTGGGGACACGGTGTCCCCACCAGGGACCCAGTGCTGGGGGAGAGCTGGGCTGCAGGGTCAGGGTCATGGACGAATGGTCCAACCTCTTTCCTCCCTCATTGAGACCATCCGGATGGATGAACTGGGCTGTGCTAGTGGCAGCGTCCACAAGCAGAGGGTGATGAGGGTCTTGTGAGGCCCCCATTAGCCATGTCCCTCTGTCCTGGGGTCTCATCCCTATGGCTTTGCCCAGGGATGCTGCTGGCGCTGAGCTTATCACCCTCCCCTTCCTTGGACAGGCTCCAGCTATGGAAATCAGGGAGCAAAGTGGGAAACTGTCTGTCTCCCACCAGGGAATTTCCCCTGAGGAGAGCTGGGCCAAGCAGACAGGGAATTTCCCCTTCCTCCTCCCCCCTCCCCACTGTCTCCCAGAGTGACCCCTCTCCCACAGGGAAATCCCCCTCTGTAACACAACAGCTCCCAGCACACACCCTGTCTGTGGGAATCCCTCCTGCTCGGGGGTGAATCCCCATCTTGGGAAGTGTCTGGGTCCTTCCAGCTTCCTGTGGGCACTGATGAGTTCCACACCCTCCACCCAGCATGGCCCAGGGGGTGAAGAGGCAAAGGGTCCCTTTGGGGCAGGGGCTGTGCACGTGTTTCGGGGGGCTTCCATCTGGAGCCCCTACCCCTCCCTGCTCTGGGCACTGACCCCTTTGCCTCTCCCTTCTTGGGGCTGGTGGCCCCTCTCTGTCCTTCCAGGGCGGGTGTGGGACCCTCTGCCCCCCACCCCCGTGCTGGCCGGGAGGTGACCCGGGGGACAAAGCGTCTGCCTGTCTGGGGATCTGCGCTGCCGCCGCGTCCCGCGCTGGTTCAAGTCACGGAGGCACAGAGCGAAACAGGGCTGGGTATTGTCTGGTGGGAGCGGCAGTCGTGATTGCCCAGACAACTCGCGGAGCCCAGTTCCTTCTGGAGGAGCTGGGGCCTTGTGAAGATAGATTTTCCATTGCATAAGAAAAAGAAGTGTTTCCTTCCAAAAAATAAATACATGGAAATGTGTTAGCTGGTGCTGAGTGCTCTGGCTGCGGCGAGTGCTGGATGATCGTGCAGAGCTCGAGCCAACGACCTGCTCCTTGGCCGAGCTGAGCAGATCCAGATGCTGCTCAGGGCAGCTCGGCCTCAGCACGCAGGTTGTGACCCCGGAGGGATTCAGGACCCCGAGGGCTGATCCTGGCCCCATCCCAATGCGTGCCAGCCTGGCAGGGCAGGACGAGTCCTTCCCTGGCGTCCTCACATGCTGGTCCCCTCTGTTCCCAGAGAGCTGTGAGGGGGTGGTCTGCGGCCCCGACAAGGTCTGCAAGATGAAGCATGGGCGTCCCCAGTGTGCCTGTGCCCCAGACTGCTCCAGCCTGCCCCGCAAGCTGCAGGCCCGCTGCCGCCGCGTCCCGCGCTGGTTCAAGTCACGGAGGCACAGAGCGAAACAGGGCTGGGTATTGTCTGGTGGGAGCGGCAGTCGTGATTGCCCAGACAACTCGCGGAGCCCAGTTCCTTCTGGAGGAGCTGGGGCCTTGTGAAGATAGATTTTCCATTGCATAAGAAAAAGAAGTGTTTCCTTCCAAAAAATAAATACATGGAAATGTGTTAGCTGGTGCTGAGTGCTCTGGCTGCGGCGAGTGCTGGATGATCGTGCAGAGCTCGAGCCAACGACCTGCTCCTTGGCCGAGCTGAGCAGATCCAGATGCTGCTCAGGGCAGCTCGGCCTCAGCATGCAGGTTGTGACCCCGGAGGGATTCAGGACCCCGAGGGCTGATCCTGGCCCCATCCCAATGCGTGCCAGCCTGGCAGGGCAGGACGAGTCCTTCCCTGGCGTCCTCACATGCTGGTCCCCTCTGTTCCCAGAGAGCTGTGAGGGGGTGGTCTGCGGCCCCGACAAGGTCTGCAAGATGAAGCATGGGCGTCCCCAGTGTGCCTGTGCCCCAGACTGCTCCAGCCTGCCCCGCAAGCTGCAGGTCTGCGGCTCCGACGGCTTCACCTACCGCGATGAATGTGACCTGCTGACAGCCAAGTGCAGAGACCACCCCGATCTTGAAGTCATGTACCAAGGAAAATGCAAAAGTAGGTCTAGTCGTGTCCCTGTCCCGGGTGTGTCCCTCCCATCTATGTCCCATCCCCTGTGGCTTCTGTGCTCCCAGCTCCATGTTGGACTGGTGCGAATGGCAGCACAGAGCGCCAGCCCATCTCGCTCTCCTGGTGCAGCACGAGCCACTCTGATGTGGAGAGGAAGGATGTGTCCTGGAGGGAAGGTCTGTCCTGGGCAGGGCTTTGCCTGTGGGTCTGTGCCTGGTGAGGGGATGTCGCTCCACAGCCCGTGGGGTGTCACAGCCTTTGGCACTGCCCTCTGAGCTGCCACCGCCTGCTGCAGCCACCAGCCCCCCAGGGCCTGGCCTGGCCACCCTGGCAGGGCACAGCAGTGGAGCCACGGGCTGGGGAATAACAGTCCATAAAATGTCACTTACAAACACCAAGCCCCTTTTTTTGTTGTTTTGTTAAGAGAGCAGCAATCCTCTTTGCCCTGCCAAGAACTGTCAGAATTATTATGATTATTTTTGCCAGCCCTCCTCTCTGAAAGGCTTTGCCTGTCAGGCTCTGGACTGCACAGGGAAACGTGGGGCAGGAGATGGGAGCTGCAATCGGGGAGTTGTAGATGCCAGATCTCCTTCCAATGCGGAGGGACAGAGGGGAGGAGAGGGAGGCGGAGGGATGGTGTTGCAAAGTGTTTATGGTGTCCGGAGAAGGCAGCAGTTCCGGCCGTGCCCCCACCGCAGTCAGGGGCTGTGCTGGGGGCTGTGCCAGGGCACAGGCTGCACAGACCCCGAGGCTTTGCTGCAGGATGGGGGTGCACGAGTCCCTCACTCTGGATTAGCCTGGCAAGGCTCCACACAGGGCTCAATTCTGTCCGTGCAGGTTCTCAGCTCCCCACCCTGGCATGGCTGGGCTGGCTTCGGGGTGATTCTGTCCTTCCCCTCTCTCTGCAGTGGTTGCCAGCCTGGCTGGAGCAGCTGCTGCTCCCCTCGCCAAGGCACCTGCCAGGGGCCGCAGCCGGGACCC